GTTGAAATATCGTTCAAATTCAATAAAAATCGACAAAAATACAGTTTCTAGCTAAAATTTGATGGTTTCGTTGCAATTTCCGAGCCCGTAGGTTATCTGAGTGGCTTAAAAGTACAAGAAAACTCTTCAAAAGTGACGTTTCTGAAGAATTTTAACAGTTTTCTTGTATCTACGAAAGCCAGAATGCACAAAATTGACCTAAACGTCTCCTTTTCCTATTCTGAGTCGATTCTGCATGCTTTAAGTGTGTTTGGTGGCTCAGAACCATCAAAAATCTTTGAAATATAGTTCAAATTCGATAAAAATCGACAAAAATACAGTTTCTAGCTAAAATTTGATAGTTTCGTTGCACTTTCCGAGACCGTAGGTTATCTGAGTGGCTTAAAAGTACAAGAAAACACTTCAAAAGTGACGTTTCTGAAGAATTTTAACAGTTTTCTTGTATCTACGAACGCCAGAATGCATAAAATTGACCTAAACGTCTCCTTTTCCTATTCTGAGTCGATTCTGCATGCTTTAAGTGTGTTTGGTGGCTCAGAACCATCAAAAATCGTTGAAATATAGTTCAAATTCAATAAAAATCGACAAAAATACAGTTTCTAGCTAAAATTGGATGGTTTCGTTGCACTTCCCGAGCCCGTTGGGTATCTGAGTGGCTTAAAAATAATAATAATAATTGATTTATTAACGGATTCACCATTACACAACATGTACGTAGTTACATTTTCAGTGCTATACGCACTGAGCGTTTAAATACAATACTAGACACATTAAAAAGGCTAATGTCACGGCGGTATTTATTTGCTAGGTTCGACAGTCTAGGAACGACAGAGTTTGATGAATAATATGTGCGATGAAATGGCACATCAAATAGAATCGGGTTTCTGACGTTCCGAGCTGGAACATGAAAATTAAACAAAGAATAAAGATTGGTACAATTACACATATTATTTAAAATCTTGAACATAAAATAGAGGTCGAAATAAGTTCTACGAGATTCTAAAAGAGCCAAACCAAAGAATTGTAGGAGATTGACGTAGTTGTTTGATTTAAAGTCAACATTAAATTTAAAACATAAAAATTTTATAAAACGACTCTGTATCTTCTCAAGTCTTTGGATCTTAACTAAATGATAAGGAGACCAAATTACTGTGCAATATTCTAACACGGAACGCACAAGAGAGCAATACAAAATTATAAAGGTCCTAAGATTATAAAAGATAGTACCCTGTCGAATAAGAAAACCGAGCAATTTATTTGCTTTATTGGCAATATTGTCAATATGGATATTGAAGTCCAATTTGGAGGAAAAAGTTACGCCTAAGTCATTTACTGAAAGGGTAGTTTCTAGTTTCCGATCTTTTATAAAATATGTTGGAGGATCTAATAATTTTTTCAAGGAAAATCTAATGGCTTTACATTTCTCAATATTTAATTCCAATTTATTAGAATCACACCATTCTACAAATTTCCCAAGGTCCTCTTGAAGTAATATAACATCAGTTGAGTTACGAATACGACAAAAAAGTTTCAAGTCATCTGCGAAAAGTAAAAATCTACAATGTTTAAAAACCGAGTTTACGTCATTAATAAAAACCAAAAATAGTAGCGGACCGATATGTGATCCTTGTGGCACTCCAGAAGTTACTTCAATAAAACGTGATCTATTATTGGATATTTTTACTCTTTGCAAACGACCTGTCAGATACGAGTTTATCCAAGATAATATGGGGTTACGTATACCTAAGTTATTTAATTTATTGACTAATAGCTGAATATTGACGCTATCAAAAGCTTTTTTTATATCTGTGTAAATACAGTCAACTGCGTAACCATTTTCAACATTTTTGAACAAGTAATCCGTAAAGATTGCGAGGTTAGTATTTGTGGATTTACAAGAAAACACTTCAAAAGTGACGTTTCTGTAGAATATTAACAGTTTTCTTGTATCTACGAACGCCAGAATGCATAAAATTGACCTAAACGTCTCCTTTTCCTATTCTGAGTCGATTCTGCATGCTTTAAGTGTGTTTGGTGGCTCAGAACCATCAAAAATCGTTGAAATATAGTTCAAATTCAATAAAAATCGACAAAAATACAGTTTCTAGCTAAAATTTGATGGTTTCGTTGCACTTTCCGAGCCCATAGGGTATCTGAGTGGCTTAAAAGTACAAGAAAACACTTCAAAAGTGACGTTTCTGAAGAATTTTAACAGTTTTCTTGTATCTACGAACGCCAGATTCATAAAATTGACCTAAACGTCTCCTTTTCCTATTCTGAGTCGATTCTGCATGCTTTAAGTGTGCTTGGTGGCTCAGAACCATCAAAAATCGTTGAAATATAGTTCAAATTCAATAAAAATCGACAAAAATACAGTTTCTAGCTAAAATTTGATGGTTTCGTTGCACTTTCCGAGCCCATAGGGTATCTGAGTGGCTTAAAAGTACAAGAAAAGTGTGTTTGGTGGCTCAGAACCATCAAAAATCGTTGAAATATAGTTCAAATTCAATAAAAATCGACAAAAATACAGTTTCTAGCTAAAATTTGATGGTTTGGTTGCACTTTCCGAGCCCCTAGGGTATCTGAGTGGCTTAAAAGTACAAGAAAACACTTCAAAAGTGACGTTTCTGAAGAATTTTAACAGTTTTCTTGTATCTACGAACGCCAGAATGCATAAAATTGACCTAAACGTCTCCTTTTCCTATTCTGAGTCGATTCTGCATGCTTTAAGTGTGTTTGGTGGCTCAGAACCATCAAAAAGCGTTGAAATATAGTTCAAATTCAATAAAAATCGACAAAAATACAGTTTCTAGCTAAAATTTGATGGTTTCGTTGCACTTTCCGAGCCCGTAGGGTATCTGAGTGGCTTAAAAGTACAAGAAAACACTTCAAAAGTGACGTTTCTGAAGAATTTTAACAGTTTTCTTGTATCTACGAACGCCAGAATGCATAAAATTGACCTAAACGTCTCCTTTTCCTATTCTGAGTCGATTCTGCATGCTTTAAGTGTGTTTGGTGGCTCAGAACCATCAAAAATCGTTCAAATATAGTTCAAATTCAATAAAAATCCACAAAAATACAGTTTCTAGCTAAAATTTGATGGTTTCGTTGCACTTTCCGAGACCGTAGGGTATCTGAGTGGCTTAAAAGTACAAGAAAACACTTCAAAAGTGACGTTTCTGAAGAATTTTAACAGTTTTCTTGTATCTACGAACGCCAGAATGCATAAAATTGACCTAAACGTCTCCTTTTCCTATTCTGAGTCGATTCTGCATACTTTAAGTGTGTTTGGTGGCTCAGAACCATCAAAAATCGTTGAAATATAGTTCAAATTCAATAAAAATCGACAAAAATACAGTTTCTAGCTAAAATTTGATGGTTTCGTTGCACTTCCCGAGCCCGTAGGGTATCTGAGTGGCTTAAAAGTACAAGAAAACACTTCAAAAGTGACGTTTCTGTAGAATATTAACAGTTTTCTTGTATCTACGAACGCCAGAATGCATAAAATTGACCTAAACGTCTCCTTTTCCTATTCTGAGTCGATTCTGCATGCTTTAAGTGTGTTTGGGGTCTCAGAACCATCAAAAATCGTTGAAATATAGTTCAAATTCAATAAAAATCGACAAAAATACAGTTTCTAGCTAAAATTTGATGGTTTCGTTGCACTTTCCGAGCCCATAGGGTATCTGAGTGGCTTAAAAGTACAAGAAAAGTGTGTTTGGTGGCTCAGAACCATAAATATAGTTCAAATTCAATAAAAATCGACAAAAATACAGTTTCTAACTAAAATTTGATGGTTTCGTTGCACTTTCCGAGCCCGTAGGGTATCTGAGTGGCTTAAAAGTACAAGAAAACACTTCAAAAGTGACGTTTCTGAAGAATTTTAACAGTTTTCTTGTATCTACGAACGCCAGAATGCATAAAATTGACCTAAACGTCTCCTTTTCCTATTCTGAGTCGATTCTGCATGCTTTAAGTGTGTTTGGTGGCTCAGAACCATCAAAAATCGTTGAAATATAGTTCAAATTCAATAAAAATCGACAAAAATACAGCTTCTAGCTAAAATTTGATGGTTTCGTTGCACTTTCCGAGCCCGTTGGGTATCTGAGTGGCTTAAAAGTACAAGAGAACACTTCAAAAGTGACGTTTCTGAAGAATTTTAACAGTTTTCTTGTATCTACGAACGCCAGAATGCATAAAGTTGACCTAAACGTCTCCTTTTCCTATTCTGAGTCGATTCTGCATGCTTTAAGTGTGTTTGGTGGCTCAGAACCATCAAAAATCGTTGAAATATTGTTCAAATTCAATAAAAATCGACAAAAATACAGTTTCTAGCTAAAATTTAATGGTTTGGTTGCACTTTCCGAGCCCCTAGGGTATCTGAGTGGCTTAAAAGTACAAGAAAACACTTCAAAAGTGACGTTTCTGAAGAATTTTAACAGTTTTCTTGTATCTACGAACGCCAGAATGCATAAAATTGACCTAAACGCCTCCTTTTCCTATTCTGAGTCGATTCTGCATGCTTTAAGTGTGTTTGGTGGCTCAGAACCATCAAAAAACGTTGAAATATAGTTCAAATTCAATAAAAATCGACAAAAATACAGTTTCTAGCTAAAATTTGATGGTTTCGTTGCAGTTTCCGAGCCCGTAGGGTATCTGAGTGGCTTAGGCCCGGTATTTCAGTTGTTGGTTAAACCAAGAAATTATAGTTAACCAAAAAAAGTTTTGGTTAAGTGTATTTCAGTGTGGGGTTAAGATATTTGACGGTTAAATTTGTTGGTTACTCTAACCCAGCCCAGCTAGGTGGTTTAACCATTATTTTTTTGGTTAACACATGCGCAGTAGACGCCACTGTCCGCGAAATTTTGGGAGACATTTTGAAGACCAGTTTTGACAGTTGTTCTTGTTATTAATCACCGTTCTAACCTCGTTTTCTCGTGTACCTCGTGCCTGTTGTTGTGTTTTTTTTTCACTGTTAAGTATATAATAAAAGCTACAGGATGAACAGTGAACGTGAACGTGTTAGATCAAAAAATTTTGAAACACAAGAAATTTGCCTACTTGTAGATTTGGTTAGACAAAACAAGTAGGTGATCGAGTGCAAAGAAACTGGAATCGTCAATAATAAGCAAAAGGGGATAGCCTGGGAGAAGTTGACAGAAACATTTAATGCCATTTCTGGTACCGTGCCTCGAACGTCCAGGAATCTAAAAGACAAATGGACAAATTTAAAAAAAACCGCAGTTTGCAATTTTGCCCACGATAAAAAATACGCACGAGGCACTGGCGGTGGTCCCTCCAAAGGCCCAACAGAGACGTCAGTAGACGCAACTGTCCGCGAAATTTTGGGAGACAGATTGACAGGTTTGCCAGCGGTGTGTGATAATGATGGTAAGTTATCACTTATTAGACATTAAAATAACAACAACATGGTTGTAATTGATTCTTAAGTTCTAGATGTAGAAATAACAAACAGAAATGAAATTGAGGATTCAATTGTCCCAGAGATTGAAAATGAAGGTACCTATACAAAAAATATATACATACTTGTAAATTTCATAATAACACCTTTTTTGTAGAGAATATGGGGACGTCAAACAGCTTCTTCACAGAAAACAGTGCCTCTTCATCACAATTAGGTAAGTGCAAAGTAATAAATTAATTGTTATTAAAATTATAATATATATTTTATTTTTAGTTTTAGAAGAAGACGTAGTTGCACAACCGGGGGATACGCAGGAAAATGAATTAGGTAAGATATAAAGTATTGTTAAACATTAAACACATGGTTATTTTTTTTTCAGACTGGTCACAATACACTCCAAGAATGTTAAAAAAGCTTCCCTCGAAACCACTACAAGTTTCAAAGAAAGGTGATTTGACATAATTAATAATAGTAATAAGTAACTTTGAAAATAAAATGTACTCTCCGCAGGTAAAATAAGAGTGGGTGGAAATATTACTAATTACAAATGGTGTCAGCTTGCCGACGAGAAAAGGAACAACTCAGTTTTCAAAAAAAAGTTACTTGAAGAAGACCACAAGCAAAAACAGGAAATCCATGCAATAATGAAGAACCAATTGCAGGAGGAACATGAGCAAAAACTGCGGCATCGTGAAGAAGAACATTGTGTAAAATTGAAATTAATTCAGGAGGAGCATGCATTAAGGATGACATTGTTGAAACAACAAATCACGTTCTCCGATGTTGATAATAATCAGTAAATCAGTGAGATATAATAAATTAATTTACTTGGTTAGATGAATACATAAGTGATGTGAACAATGAAAAATACTAAACCAACTAAAGCATAGAGCGGAACATGAGCTGAAATTGCATTTAATGAATTTAGAAATAATTTATAAACTTCTACACTATATATGTAAATTTACAAATTTGCAAAATATGCAATGAATTCATTTCTTGCTCTGTTGTTGTTATTTCTATTTACATCATCAGCAACTGGTACATCATCTGCCAAATCAAAAGCTCTTTGCTCTTCGAGATTTAAGGGAGGTGGTTCATCTTCGTCGTTTAAAATTGCGATATTATGCAAGACTGCTGTGGCTACAATTATCCAGGGAACCATTCGTAGGTGTAGATTTATGCCATTACTTAAAATCGGGAAGCGTCGTTTCCAAACACCATAAGAACGTTCAACTGGGTTTCGTGTTCTAATCAGTGACTCGTTATATAAATTTTGAGCAATTGTATTTGTCACTGTCAATGGTGTCATTAAAAAATTTTGAATAGGGTAACCTGCATCCCCAACAAGTATTGCACGCTCCATTTCTGCATTTTGAAATTTTCTGCAAATCTCAGAATTTCTAAAAATTGTTGAGTCGTGAGCAGAACCGGGCCATCTTGCTACAATATTTATTATTTTTAAATTAGAAGCAGCAATTGTTTGCACATTCAGGGAGAAAAAATTTTTCCGATTGCGATAAATTTCAGCATTTTCTCCACCTGCAAAATGTTCTATACTAATGTCCGTTAACACAAAATACCTTATTAACATACCCGGTGACTTTATTTTGATATGTGTGCAATCTAAAGCACCAACAACTCGTGGGAATCTTGCAAGTTGATAAAAACCTTGTTGCACTATAGAGATTTCTTCTCCTGTTTGAGGAAATTTTATGTATTCTTCCCGCAAATTTGCAATAGCTCTTGTAACCTTCAATTTATTGTAACATAGGTAACATTTTTATGACTAGTTTTGTCTTTCACTCACTCTGTTTATTGCTTTTCCCACAGTACTCTTGTGAACACCTCCAAAATCTCCAATTACAATTAAGAAACTGCCTGTCGCGAAAAATCGGAGTGTAATTAACAACATTTCCATTGATGTAAGAGCGTGATTCCTGAAATACATTCATTAAACAGCTTATATTATTTTAAATTGTATATTTTATACCAATTTGTCGGATGCTTTATGACATCATGAATTGAATGTATCAAATTTGTTACAGATTCTTTTGACAGTCTGAACCTACAATAAAATTCTTGGTCGTCCCAGTAATTAAAATGGTCCCTTCGTATCTGTATTCTAGGAACTTTGCGAATTCGTCCCAAGCGGACAACAAAATTAATAACTTGCTCATCGTCTGAGTCACTATCGCTAGAAGAGTAAATATTTGCCATTTTTACTTCCCGAGCGTAAGCAAAGGAAGTATTGTAATCGAGTCCGTCGGCCGACTCTCTACTTTTACGTTTTCTCGATCTTTCATGACCCCTAGAAGACGAAGAAATAGGTCTCCCATTTCCGTCTGTCTGTCCGTCCGTCTGTCCGTCCGTCTGTCCGTCCGTCTGTCCGTCCGTCTGTCCGTCCGTCTGTCCGTCCGTCTGTCCGTCCGTCTGTCCGTCCGTCTGTCCGTCCGTCTGTCCGTCTGTTGTCCCGGATTTTATTAGACAGATAATCTCCGAAAGTACTCGACCGATTGTTGTGAAATTTTGTACTTATATTAAGAATATCATGTAGATGGTAAAACGCTAACCAAAATTTGTCTAATCATCCCCACCACTAATGCGATGACGTCACTTCAAAATTGTACATAGTAAATGGGTTTTCAATTGTATAAAATAACATAGTCCTACACATGTAGTTTACAACTCTGAATCGACTTTTCACCCGCAACGTCCAGATTTTTGGAAAAAAAATCAAAATTATAAAACAACATTTTGAAATTTAATTTTTAATCTGCTAACCAGAATGCTTTGAAACCTTGCAGATGTTTTAAGGCTATAAAGAGCATCATAAATCTTTAGTCAAAAAATATTTGCTTATCCCCTCCAAAAACTTGATGACGTCAGCTCAAAAGTTTGTGGAATAAATCATATCTAAAATGTACAAAATATGATGAGTCTGTACTTGTGATCTATCACTCCATTCATATTTTTTGGATTTGCATATACAGGGTGACTCAAAAAAATTAATGAATGCGTAAATATATTTTATTGATTTAATCAGGAACTACAAAACCGAATGCTCTGAAATCTTGCAGATGTTTTAAGGTCATAAAGAGCATAATAAATGTTTAGTCAAAATATATTTGCTTATCCCCTCCAAAAACTTGATGACGTCAGCTCGAAAGTTTGCCGAATAAATCATATCTAAAATGTACAAAATATGATGAGCCTGTACTTGTCATTTATCACTCCATTCATATTTTTTGGATTTGCATATACAGAGTGACTCAAAAAAATTAATGAATGCGTAAATATATTTTATTGATTTAATCAGGAACTACAAAACGGAATGCTCTGACATCTTGCAGATGTTTTAAGGTTATAAAGAGCATAATAAATGTTTAGTCAAAATATATTTGCTTATCCCCTCTAAAAACTTGATGACGTCAGCTCGAAAGTTTGCCGAATAAATCATATCTAAAATGTACAAAATATGATCAGTCTGTACTTGTGATCTATCACTCCATTCATATTTTTTGGATTTGCATATACAGGGTGATTTAAGAAAATAAATGAAAGCGTAAATTTATTTTACTGATTTACTCAGGAACTACAAAACCGAATGCTTCGAAATCATGAAGATATTTTAAAATTATCATAAGCATGGTAAATTTTTGATCAAAACGTATTTGGTCGTCCCCCTAAAAAATTTATGATGTCACCACAAAATTTTGCTGAAAAAATCCTATCTAAAATGTACAAAATATGGTGAGTCTCTTCTTATGATTTATCATTCCATTCAAATTTTTTGGATTTGCATATACAGGGTGACTCAAAAAAATTAATGAATGCGTAAATTTATTTTATTGATTTAATCAGGAACTACAAAACCGAATGCTTTGAAATCTTGCAGATGTTTTAAGGTTATAAAGAGCATAATAAATTTTTAGTCAAAATATATTTGGTTATCTTCTACAAAAAACTGATGACGTCAGCTCAAAAGTTTGCCGAATAAATCGTATCTAAAATGTACAAAATATGATGAGTCTGTACTTGTGATTTATCATTCCAATCATATTTTTGGATTTGCATATGCAGGGTGACTCAAAAAAATTAATGAAGGCGTGAATTTATTTTATCGATTTAATCAGGAATTAGAAAACCGAATGCTTTGAAATCTTGGGAATATTTTAAAGTTATTATAAGCATGGTAAACTTTTGTTCAAAATGTATTTGTTCATCCCTCCTAAAAAAATTGATGACGTCACCCTTAAATTTTGCTGAATAAATCCTATCTAAAATGCAAAAAACATGATGTGTTTGTACTTGTGATTTATCATTCCATTCATATTTTTTAGATTTTCTTAAGAGGTGGTTCAAAAAAATTAATGAAGTCAATTTTTTTTATTGATTAAATTAAAGGCAACACTTATTATTAGTATTACACCCTAACCAACCCAATTTGGTAGACACAAAATTTGTTAAAGGAAAAACTCGGTTGAAACATAAGGGTAGCACGCTTATTTACATCGACTTTAACATTACAGACCTGGATTTGTTTTATGCGTTCACTTGGTTCCGCGAATGTGAAATAGACATGTTTATAATCAACCAATTGTGAATTTCACCGTCAAGAATTAAAATAAAACCCAATGTTTTATATGTATAATAAGCGGAAGTCGAAGCAATAAAACCGATGGTCGTTTTGTTTACAGTTTCTCTGTTTGACTCTCACGTATGCTGTTACGCCTGTCATCTTAAATTAAGAATGTTTATACATGCACGATTTTCAGTTGCCTCTGATACGTAGTTATACGTGAGTAAATTGTTTCGTTATTTTATTGATTATTACAAATCAATATTCAAAACGACCCAATTCATTTTCCCGAAAATTTGAGAATATAATAATTTTATTCTTAGTATTACACTACATCTATCCCAACTGATATACGTGTCCTTGCAAAAATGTTGATGACGTCATCGCAATTTTTTTTTAAATTCCCACTACATAAATGTAATGAGAAAAAAAACACAATAGGCATGCAGTCGTCAAGTTTCCGACAGCGAGGGAAGTACTGTCTAAACTCTTTAGACCAATTTTTTTAAATTATTTTTCGCACGATTCACTTAAAAAGAAACAACACTTTCACAATCAAAATGTAAATAAAGCAAAAGTGAGGTTATAAAAACGCCTACACGCCCACCAAAATATGAAAGAATATATCCTCGCACATGCTCTTTTCAACTGGTAGACCAATTACGATACCAACTTAAGAGAAATAATGGTTAGTTAACCAGAATATACTTAACCAAATTTTCGACACTGAAATACCGGTTCTTGGTTAAAGTTTTGGTTAAAATTTAACCAAGGTTAGTTAACCCTGATTTTAACCAACTACTGAAATACCGGGCCTTAAAAGTACAAGAAAACACTTCAAAAGTGACGTTTCTGAAGAATTTTAACAGTTTTCTTGTATTTACGAACGCCAGAATGCATAAAATTGACCTAAACGTCTCCTTTTCCTATTCTGAGTCGATTCTGCATGCTTTAAGTGTGTTTGGTGGCTCAGAACCATCAAAAATCGTTGAAATATAGTTCAAATTCAATAAAAATCGACAAAAATACAGTTTCTAGCTAAAATTTGATGGTTTCGTTGCACTTTCCGAGCCCGTAGGTTATCTGAGTGGCTTAAAAGTACAAGAAAACACTTCAAAAGTGACGTTTCTGAAGAATTTTAACAGTTTTCTTGTATCTACGAACGCCAGAATGCATAAAATTGACCTAAACGTCTCCTTTTCCTATTCTGAGTCGATTCTGCATGCTTTAAGTGTGTTTGGTGGCTCAGAACCATCGAAAATCGTTCAAATATAGTTCAAATTCAATAAAAATCGACAAAAATACAGTTTCTAGCTAAAATTTGATGGTTTCGTTGCACTTTCCGAGCCCGTAGGGTATCTGAGTGGCTTAAAAGTACAAGAAAACACTTCAAAAGTGACGTTTCTGAAGAATTTTAACAGTTTTCTTGTATCTACGAACGCCAGAATGCATAAAGTTGACCTAAACGTCTCCTTTTCCTATTCTGAGTCGATTCTGCATGCTTTAAGTGTGTTTGGTGGCTCAGAACCATCAAAAATCGTTGAAATATAGTTCAAATTCAAAAAAAATCGACAAAAATACAGTTTCTAGCTAAAATTTGATGGTTTGGTTGCACTTTCCGAGCCCCTAGGGTATCTGAGTGGCTTAAAAGCACAAGAAAACACTTCAAAAGTAACGTTTCTGAAGAATTTTAACAGTTTTCTTGTATCTACGAACGCCAGAATGCATAAAATTGACCTAAACGTCTCCTTTTCCTATTCTGAGTCGATTCTACATGCTTTAAGTGTGTTTGGTGGCTCAGAACCATCAAAAATCGTTGAAATATAGTTCAAATTCAATAAAAATCGACAAAAATACAGTTTCTAGCTAAAATTTTATGGTTTTGTTGCACTTTCCGAGCCCGTTGGGTATCTGAGTGGCTTAAAAGTACAAGAAAACACTTCAAAAGTGACGTTTCTGAAGAATTTTAACAGTTTTCTTGTATCTACGAACGCCAGAATGCATAAAATTGACCTAAACGTCTCCTTTTCCTATTCTGAGTCGAAGTGTTGACGTTTAAGTCAATTTTATGCATTCTGGCGTTCGTAGATACAAGAAAACCGTTAAAATTCTTCAGAAACGTCACTTTTGAAGTGTTTTCTTGTACTTTTAAGCCACTCAGATAACCTACGGGCTCGGAAAGTGCAACGAAACCATCAGATTTTAGCTAGAAACTGTATTTTTGTCGATTTTTATTGAATTTGAACTATATTTCAACGATTTTTGATGGTTGTGAGCCACCAAACACACTTAAAGCATGCAGAATCGACTCAGAATAGGAAAAGGAGACGTTTAGGTCAATTTTATGCATTCTGGCGTTCGTAGATACAAGAAAACTGTTAAAATTCTTCAGAAACGTCACTTTTGAAGTGTTTTCTTGTACTTTTAAGCCACTCAGATAACCTACGGACTCGGAAAGTTCAACGAAACCATCAAATTTTAGCTAGAA